CCGCGATGCGGTTCCTGTTTTCCCTCAATCGTTCACGGTCGATCAAGTTCTTCATGGATTGGTGAAGAAAACTATAAGACTTTTCATGGGATTTCTCATGTGCACGATCAAACATCTCGATGTCATACTTCAGCAACTGACTTGGTCGGATCTGCCTCAACAAGATGTCCCTTAACACAGCATCATCAGGGGTGACAGCCATACCAGCTAGGGTAGCATCCCATTTGTTGATGAATCTTCTGAGATCCTGGACAGTCTCGCCTACTTTGACAACACCCAAAAGATCTTCTACTCTGTAAAGGCTACCTGCTTCTTCTGATGTTTTGAAGTAGTCCTCAAACATGAGCAGGACATACCTTCCCCTGACCTGGATGCCTTTTCGGGATTGTTGCTCTTTGAAATTCAGGATCCTAGTTGCGAGGTCCCCTCCGGCTGAGCGCGTGAGCGCTGCTGATAACTTTGTATCCAGCGTGAGGAACTTCCCAGGATCTTGAAGTCTCTTCTCCAACTGCTCTCTGGTGCACTCCTGATCGTACACCTCATTGAGCCAGAGCCATGCCTCATCTGGGCGATTTGAGCAACTTTTCACTTCATCCCTGACATGATTCTTCCAAGTCCTATATGACTCCGGAGCGGGCATGTTGTTCAGCTTGATGATTTCGGCCTCCTTAGTTTTTGGCTTATCCTTTTCTTCCCTTTGGGTTAAGGCTTTTACCAATTCAATAAGATCTGAGGGACCCATCACTTGCTGTTGCTTGGTCACGCTCTTTGGGGAATCATTTGGGGGAGTTTTGATAGCTTCAGTGGGAGTGAAAAACCCTGATTGCGTTGGCAATTGAGGCTGGTCGTTGCCGACAGCCGGTTTCTGCTTGGGACTGCCACCTTTGAGCAGCTCATCCAACTTGGCTTTTGCTTCTTGTGCCAACACTGCAGGCGTTTTCAACTCTTGAATCGGCTCATCGCTGCCTTTGGCAGCCTGTGCATCGGATGCTCTAGGAGTGGCAATGTTGAAGTGGGGCACGCTAGTGGTAGCGGCTGGCTCGGCATTCTGGACGGATGCTTTCGGAACGGAGGCATGCTGCGCTTTGGCAACATGCTTTAACTGCTCCTGAAGGTCATCGATTTGGTCCTGAAGGCTGAGGTTCTGAGCCGCTGCCTCGTTGATCTTCTCGGCCATCTCCTTCTTGTAGTTCTCGAATTCGGTCCTCAAACTGATGAACCTGGCCTGATCAACTGCGGCCTGATCTTCATATTGCTTCTTCGTGGCAGCTATGGCATTCTTTGCATGTTCGACAGTCTGTGCATAGGAAGCTTCGAATTCACTAGTGATACGTTGCCTTTCCTCTGCAATTTTCTGATCATGCTTTGTGTTTGCCTCTGCCTTGAAGTCCTCTACTCTTTTGTCATGCGATGCCTGAGCCTGATTTAACCTGACCTCCAACTCGTCGCCTCGTTTCCTTTCCTCGTTGACGGCACTGATGGCCTTACCTTCAACCTCCTGCAACCTTTGCTCATACTCCTGCTCCTGCATTACGAGCCTACTTGACCATTCGTTTCGAATTGAGTCAACTACTCCATGCATTATCTGAAGGTGCCTCTGTTCAGCTTCCCTCATGACTTGCAGGGTGTTCCCACTAGTGATTTGGGAAAGGTTGTTTTGTATGAAGGTGAAGTACGCTACAACGGGTTGGAACATTGCCTCGTCATCCATCGGCTCGGGGTTGCCCCCGGCCACATTGGGCACAGCGACGGCCGATGGACCTGACCCTGGAACGGCGAGAGGAAGGTCGGATGGGGTCCCCATAGCAAAGTTCGGCTCCGCCGGCTCCACACGAGTGGCTTGCCCTACGAGCGTCCCAGAGCGACTAGAGCTCTATGGTGAGGCGCGCCCCAAGCCGCCGACCCCCTCCGACGCCGGGCCCCAAAAAATACCAAAAATCCTTCAGGAGGGTGGGGGAGAGCGTTTTAGACGGAATCCGGGTCGCTCATAAGCGTCTCCAAGAGCAAAATCCCCCCCCCCGTTTGGAGGGTACCTAAAATCGGAAAAAAGCGCCGTTTTGACACATTTTTCGGACGATTTTTCGCTTTTCGAAAGTCACAAAATGCTGTAAATTACAGCATTTTTGCGTTTTAACGTCTTTTGCGGGAGCCATGCAAAAACGCAGAAAATGCTGTAAATACCAATACTTTTTGGACCCGAGATGCACAAAACACTGCAAATACCAGTGTTTTTGAAAGCCAAGCAAAAAAACACCGTAAACTACAGCATTTTTGGCAGGATGATCGCAAAAAATGCTGGTATTCACAGTGTTTTTGCAATTTCAAGAAAACGTGGAAGGCACGAAACACTGTAAATAGCGGTGTTTTGGCCACTTTTGGACGCCGAAACGCTGGTATTTACGCAGTTTTTTGCCCGTGGCGGCGCCAAACCCCTGTAAATTACAACATTTTCTTCCCTTTTTGAACCGATTTTTTGCGTTGATGAACGCAAAAAAACGCTGGTATTTACGCGGTTTTCAAAAAATCGAAGATCGTGACGTGAACGAAACCGTGTAAATAACAGTGTTTTAGCCACTTTCGGGGACTAAAACTGTGGTATTTACGGGGGTTCTTGCCATCTGACAGCGCAAAATGCTGTAAATTACAGCACTTTGTGCGTTGTTTATGTTCAATTGTTTAACCTGCGATGCTTTCACCTGTTCTTTGCATTCTTCCACAAGAAACAATGTTGCAGATTGAAACACAGAAGCTTTTACACATACAGGGGCTTTTACACAGAGAAGTCTTTACACAAAGGAGCTTTTTTCACACAGAAGGTTTTACACAGAGAAGTCTTTACTCTAAGGAGCTTTTGCACACAAACGTCTAGGAGCCTTTACACACAGAAGCTGTTACACAAAGAAGTCTTTACACAGAGGGCTTTTTACACACAGACGCGTTTGCACACAGAAGCTTTTACACAGAGAAGCCTTCACACAGAGGAGCTTTTACACACAAAAGCATTTACACACAGCAAGCTTTTACACACACAGGGGCTTTTACACAGAGAAGTCCTTACACAAAGGAGCTTTTTACACACAGAAGGTTTTACACAGAGAAGTCTTTACTCTAAGGAGCTTTTGCACACAAACGTCTAGGAGCCTTTACACACAGAAGCTGTTACACAAAGAAGTCTTTACACAAAGGGCTTTTTACACACAGACGCGTTTGCACACAGAAGCTTTTACACAGAGAAGCCTTCACACAGACGAGCTTTTACACACAAAAGCATTTACACACAGCAAGCTTTTACACACACAGGGGCTTTTACACGGAGAAGTCCTTACACAAAGGAGCTTTTTACACACAGAAGGTTTTACACAGAGAAGTCTTTACTCCAAGGAGCTTTTGCACACAAACGTCTAGGAGCTTTTTCACACAGAACTTTTTACACGAAGAAGGCCTGACAGAGAGAGTTTTTAAAAAACAGACGCGTTTGCACACAGAAGCTTTTACACAGAGAAGCCTTTACACAGAGGAGCTTTTACACACAAAAGCATTTACACACAGCAAGCTTTTACACACACAGGGGCTTTTACACGGAGAAGTCCTTACACAAAGGAGCTTTTTACACACAGAAGGTTTTACACAGAGAAGTCTTTACTCCAAGGAGCTTTTGCACACAAACGTCTAGGAGCTTTTTCACACAGAACTTTTTACACGAAGAAGGCCTGACAGAGAGAGTTTTTACACACAGACGCGTTTGCACATAGAAGCTTTTACACAGAGAAGCCTTTACGCAGAGGAGCTTTTACACACAAAAGCATTTACACACAGCAAGCTTTTACACACACAGGGGCTTTTACACGGAGAAGTCTTTACACAAAGGAGCTTTTTTCACACAGAAGGTTTTACACAGAGAAGTCTTTACTCTAAGGAGCTTTGCACACAAACGTCTAGGAGCCTTTACACACAGAAGCTGTTACACAAAGAAGTTTTTACACAGATATATAGCTTTCACACACAGACGCGTTTACACACAGAAGCTTTTACACAAAGAAGTCTTTACACAAAGTGGTTTTTACACACAGAAACTTTTACACACAAAAGCTTTTACACAGAGAAGTCTTTGCACAGAGGCGCCTTTACACGAAGTAACAAGTTGAAATTGGCAGCAGTTCTTCGGGAAAAACCCTTGGCAGGAGCTTTCGGGAACTCACTTGCTCCCCAAAACAGCCGTCTATTTCCAACAAAGTTCCTATTCCATGAACTTTTTTCAAAAAACATAAGGAATATATTTCTGAAGCAGGTCCCCATCCAAAAGCTTTCAAGCCCACACTGCGATGAAATGGAGGGTCGAGAAATCCGGCGGAGCCGACGAGGGGCGTCAGCCCTTAAAATAGTGAGACTACGGCTGATAACCTGTATTTTACCAGGTCAACCGAATATGGGGTGAAATACAACACTATCCGCTAAGCAGCTAGCTCTGTTTTGAACCAACGCTACAGGGTAGATCGATGACATATACAATACATGGTTTTACTGCAGGATTTTTTACATGTTTTAATATGGTATATGTAATAATATGATATAAATAACATCATGTGGTTTAAGATGTTAACTATTATATATTTGTAGGTAATACATTGATAATACTTTATAGAACCTATTAGATGCGATTTATAGATGATGATTTAGCGAATGATGTGTTTGCTTTCAAAGATTATTGTGGCGTTGTTCAGGTGATAATTAGCTAATCTATAATTCTGACAAATGCGTGGGTGAATAGAATACAATACGTCACCTATTCATCTCTGAGATGAAGCACATGTGTGGCGGTAGCATCTTTCCCGATGACTTGATATGAATTATAGTACAATATGAATCGTATGATATTGTTTTCTTGAGGTGACACAACATATCCCCATTGAATTTATTACATTTATTATATATGCGGTTTTATAAGGACTTCGGACACCGAAGAATTGTGCCAGCACCCGCAATGATCCCGCAGCGGCTGCCTCTGTTTGAAGCAAGGTCTCTTTCAACGCTGACAACTCGGCCACCTTCCTCGAAGCTCCAAGGCCAAAACAGCACGAGAGAGACAAAAACTTAACATATACAACATCAATATCAACATATATATATATATACAACATCATGCAAATAAATGGCAGAATTAGAGAGGCACTTCATGTGTGTTTTCTCATCGTTTCTCCTCGACTCCATTCCCCAGGTAAAAGCGTGTTGCACCAAAGGTCCCGTTGAGCTCTTGCCGCAAGGCGTGGTTTTCAGCTTCAAGTTCTGGCACTCGGCGGAGCAGAATTTCACTTTGCCTTGCGAAACTAGTGAGCTCAATATCGGCATGATCCGAGATGACAACAAAGAGCCAAGACTGTCACGACAAAATAAAACATAGTAAAACATAATAAAACACTATAAAACTATCAACAATCAAGACCAACAGAAGCAACAACGAAACAATAAGTTAAGGCAGTCTAAAGATGTCTAAAGTAAAGATAAGTAAAGATGCAGGTGATTGCAGGTGCATTGTAGCCACGGGTTGGGAACCAGGGCTACCAGGGACAGCTTCCCAGCCTTTGCTTCTCCATCAAGTCCACCAACTGGGCGCCAGCCCTGGTCCCCGCAAGTTGCAGTTCACCTTACCAGCTGCACCAGCTGCCAGAGGCCAATGGGGCATCAAAACATCTCAAAACGAGATATCCATCATTATCCATCAACATTCAACCATAACATCCATAACAATTGGACAATGTCAGGGCTGTTAGCTGGCAATATCTGGAAATCTCCTGAACTTGTTGCTCTCGACATCTCTTGACGCCAGGCAGCGGATAACCGTGTCTTTAGCCTCGAGATCCTTTTTGGCAGTGTCCAGAGTTTCCGCCAGAACTACCTCGGTGCTTCGGTGTTTGACTCCCCACATCTTCGATTGACCCAGCCTTAAAATTCACACGATTTCACTAGAAATCTGTACCTCCAAGGCCTTCCAGCACTCCACATCCCTTCACATCTAAGTTGCCGAAGATGGAATGCCCTCTTGGCTTTGTGTCTGAAACCGCAGGCGCACTAGCTCCTCCTGCAAATGTTGGATGGTGATTCCTGATCTGCTTGAGCTGTCTGGGAGCAAACAATAAACAAGCAAACAGATTTGCACCCAAGCATGCAGCTGGCAGAGGCTTCTCGAAATGGAATGTCAATGGTTGTATTTCGTTGTCCTTCCCAACTGAATAAAAAGATATTTAAACAGCCGAGGACCCTCTCATGCTCCTGATTTTTTTGGTTTTCTTGCGTCACCTCTGGCCAAGCCGTCTGTGAAATGCTCAGAATTGTTGATCAAAGTGCGAGCCAATGTTTCACCACAATTCATCACACTGCCACATTCAGGACGGTTTGATTGAATTGATTTCACTACAGTGGTTGAAATGGAGCTGGCAGCGGACGCCATTGCGCAGTGGGCAATGGTTCTGAGGTTTGCTGCACGTTGATGCACCTTGGCCATGTCGATTTCGTACCTGTACTTCCCTCTCCTCAACTCGGTCTCCTTTGGGGTGCCAGTGACGACCCATGGTGTGGTGCACAGGGCAGTCATCCATGGCCGTGAACTGCCATGGCTCATCATATCTCATCATGGCTCCTGCTTCTTGACAGACTCGAGCTCTGTTTGAAGCCGCATGACCTGGGCAGTGTTCGCGGCCGATGCTGCGGCTATGCGACTTCTGCCAGAAATACGGACAGTCTGAGTCTTGAATCAGCCGTCCTATGTATATATATATATATGTTACTTATGTCACTCGTAAATGTTCACAATCATTCATAATTAATCACAATTGCTCTTCAATTGCATATATCCTCATAACATGGAAATGTGTGTCCTAGCAAGATTGATAATTATAACTTATGATCGGCTGATGTTTGCGGTTGCATTGCAGCGCTGGTCTTCGCAACTCTGATTGAGTCCAAGGGTAGCTCTGATGAGGGTCATGATGACATATTACTCTGATGACTACTGAAGTATGAAGAACACCAAGGAGTTACATATAGCTACTGTTACAGTAAATTTGATTATGATTGCATCAAAATCATGTTATGTTGCATGTGATAACTAAGCGGGACTCAGAATGAGCAACCGCCTAGCAACATCGGCTTCCAGCGAACCGAGCGAAGCGAGCGAGCCTCGGCCTTGGAGAAACGAAGCAGGCTGTCCAACTCGTCGATTTGCTGCATCGCAGAGCGCTCCCCTGAGATCTGCGCCTGGCATCATTGGCACCTGGAGCCTGCTGGAAGCCAAAAGTCATATGCTTCTTTGTTCCTTCAACTGAACTTTGTTCCAAAATATGCATCTTTGATCATCTTTGCTCCAAAAGTCATATGCAAAGCGCAAAATATTGCAAATTCATGCAAATTCCAAGAACATCGGCAGGAACACATCTTGTGCAAAACCTAATTTCGTGATTAAAATGTGAAGCCATTCCATCCGAACAAATGGATACAAATGGAACCTATTTAGGACCTATTTCGGCCAAAACGAAAGCCTGCGTCCGCTCCAACTTCTCTCGCAGTCCACCCAGCTCCTTGTTGAGGCGCTCAACCTCTCCTGCGGATGCGGCTCCCAGAACTCTTCGGATCTCTTGGGCCTTTCGTGGATGTGAAATAATGGTTAATATATGTTAATATAAGGGTTAATATACATTGATATACTGGTTATTACTGGTTAATGTTGGTCAATACTGGTGAATGAAGGTGAATGTCTTTCCTTCATGACCAGCTATGTCCAGCTAATGAACACCCCAACTCGTTCCCTCTCCCGTTGCTCGATTCCGCCCCTTTTTTTCACATACGCACATAGCAGGGCCTCTTGTGAGGCTGTCTTACATCTGGTCCATGCTGTCTTCTACCCGTCTTACCGGAAAAGCGTTTCACTGAGAAGATCTGTCAAACAGGTTGGCCGCTGACACAGGGGCCCGGCTGCAATAGCTTCAATAGCTGCAACTTCAAGATCTTGCACCGCCACTCCGACGGACACCCTAACCCTAGCCCAAGCTCTGCTGCAGCACTGAAGCCAAACTTCTTCGAAGTCATTCCAGAACACACCACAAATCATCAAGACCTCCCCAAGTCCCCAAGTTGGTGCCACCATTTCCATCCATTTCCATCGCATCCATCTTCATCAATGATCCTATATTCCAGTCATCCCAGCATGAAGCTGTCATTGGCCAACGAGTGGAATCGTGTGAGGCGTTTCCAGCTGGTCTCCCTCAGAGGGGCGTGCCAGAAACGGCTCCAGCTCGGCCGTCGCCCAAGGCGATCCTCCAAGGCGCCCAGGACGGCGGCGAAGGGCGAACAACGAGCATCACGGGAGAAGTAGTTGAACCAACAGCTGTGGGCATCCACTTCAGCCTGTGATATCAGCTTGGACGGCTGGAGACACGACTGGAGACCCCTATGAATGGAGCTGTTTGGGGGTCAAACTCTGGCACAGTACGCACCATGCACAACATAATCCACCCAAACAAGCTTGTAAATTGCAAAACAACATGCAATCAGTATCCACCTTCATCTCTCTGAGAACTTCCACTGGAATTGACTGCAAAAATGCATATAGCTCTGGGCCAACCATCGACTCCGGCAATTTGAGGCTGAAATGTTGCCATTCCTTGGTTCATGCAGAGCCTCAGACAAGGCAAGTACCAGTGCCAGTACCCCAAAATGCTCCTCTTGCGACAATACATCACAGGGGTCCTATCAGCCGAGCTGCGACAATGTGCTGGAAAGCCACTTCGTACTCATCTGATAAAATTACTGGGATACAGCCACAATGTATGCTTTCCTTAGTTGAAAGAAAGACCCCACAATGGCCCAGCACACTACAACTGAATGACACGGGACATGTTCGGGCAGAACATCAACTCCTTGATCCTGGTCTATTCTGGGTCTATTGCTTCAAAGTTCTTCGTTTTACTGCAGCTGGTTTACATGTTGCAAAATAATGCAAAATGGTCACCATACACCAATGCTTTGCTCAAGACTCGTAGAGCTGGTTCGTCCAGGGCGATGTGCCAGCAGGAATCAGGCAGAAGTGAGAGCGGCCCTTCACCTCGAAGTAGTTTGGTATGAAGCCACCTGGTTTCGATGGCACTACCCGGTAGCACAACAGAACTGGAGGGATCAACATGGATCAACATGGTTCAACACCTCACCCATGAAATGAAAATCGGCATCTCTGGGTGCCCAGTTGATCATGGCAAGGTGCCAACATCCACCCCATCGAAATCAGCCATTTGCAGAATCCGGTCACGCACAGCACAGGACTCGTAGACGTCCTCTTTTGAAAAGCCGTGACGGCAGTTGTACCAGCACAAAGAGTACCAGGATTTTTGATTCCAAACCCGGGAACAGGAAAACCCTAACCAACATCAGCCACATCCAACCAAATCAGACCAAATCCCACCAGATCCCCATCCAACCACTTGTTGAGAACCTCACTGCTCCCAAGTCCTTATTACCAGAGTGACTTCCATGGAAAGTCATCAAAAGGTCTCGCTGATCGCTAGGCCGATTCTGCCTTTTCATGGCTTGGAGTCGCGCATGGTCCGTGTGCCCAGGGATGAGAATATCCTGACAGCAGCACTGACAAGCAAGCTCGAGAATTTTCTTCAGAATCCGTGCAGGTGCAAAATGTTTGGCATATGCTGGGCACATATTAATGACAATTAATTGGCATATGACATCAAGAAGGATGAACATCAGTGAGCGTCGTTGTCGTCTATACAAATTCAATCAATCTATATATATATATATAAGACTAATCTCTACCACGACCTATGACCTGTGAACAAAATTGAGGGAAAAAAACAGCAAATGACAAGACGCATGTGTCCAAAAATAGGCAACAACAATCCATTTACCCAAAAACCAAATCATGTTCCCGCTAATTTTCATGACCATAAGTTGAAGGCAAATAGCTCATAGACTTCCAGCATCTTCCAGCAATGCTCCCGCCCTGCTTCTCCGGCCTTCCAGCTACTACTGCAAGATTTGATATCACTGTATTTCCTCATAGGCTCATCCCAGGTGGGACATTTCGACCTCAGGCTGAGTCTGGGGCGATTTGCTGCCCAGAAATGCGGTTTTGGGGGGATTGGGATGGTGGTTGAACCTGACCCAAGTACCAATAGCCCTGAAACTTGGCAAAGTGCCCAAGATTTTTATTATGAGTTATGATGAGTGATGAGTATTCATGGAAGAAACGCATTTTTGGGGTAACTTCAGGGCCTAGGTACTGTCAATTGGATGCCACCGTTACCCGTTCTTGAAAACAAAGTCCGGAAAGAATTGTGCAAACGCCACTACCATTAAAACCTTTTATCTACAGAGCCTCCCAGTGTTCCCAACCATGGCTCGGGAAGGACTGGAACTCTCGGAGAAACAGTCGGCAAATGTTGGGGGAATCTGAAAAGCACAATCTGCCAGGGGACTCGACCATCATGAAAATGGCTTCGCTTCTGACCAAGTCATAGGAATCCCAGACGCGCGCGGACTGACCATCTGCAAAAATGAAAATGTGGTCCATCTGCTTCCGACGATGAAACCACTGTTGAGAAAATAAGTATTGCAGTAAGGGGTCCCAAATCACTTTCGCAGCGGCTTCATCATTCTCCAAATTCTCCTGCAAATGACCCATACGACATCCCAGCCTCAATCAGCCTCATGTCATTGGTACAACCGCTGAAACCATGCAACAAAAATATCCCACAAATTTTCAGACCCCGTCCTTGGTAAATTTGCACGTGCTGTAGACTGGCACCAAAAGGAAATCCGCCTCTTCTGGGTCCGGTGTTCGGCAGGTAGAGCTCAGAAAGTAGCGATGAAATAAAACTTCTGTGCCCCATTGGCCCAGGGCGCAGTCCAACTGGTTCTCTGTAAGTCCTTGAGGGACATCGTAGACCTGCATGTCTTTGCAGTGACAAAGTTGCTGGACAGCCCTGCACACCTGTAAAAATCCAACATCATGCTGCCATGTCATGCCAAGTCACATAAATCTTCAGATCTGACCCATGGCAATCATTCTGATCCATTCCGAACAGCAATGGATAGGTGTAGACAGTATCCTGATTCCATTCCTCCCGGAGCTCTTCAGCTTCCTCCTCAGAAAGATGCTGCTTGGCCAGGCGGATGGCCAGCTCATAAAGTCCTGCATGCCCACCCATGTCATGTCGACATCACCAACCTCCAAGGCATTCCCAAATGAGTTGAAACATGAGAAACTAAGGTACTAACCAAGGTATACAAAGGTGCCTTGTATAGTAACCATAGTAAACCATTGAATAATGATTGAGTGAATCCTCTTAGCCTCCGGATCGAAGCACCGACCACCGGCATCCACCGGCCTTGACCATCCTCAAGCGAATAGTCCACGGAAGATGCAAGCACTGAGTCCATCATGATCTCAATGATCGGCAATGGACACCGTTGAACATGTTCCTCTGCGGTAAATGTTCGATATGATCTTACCATGATCCTACCAACCTTTTCCATGTTTCGTGCTTTTGGGCACCAAATCATCTGGACAGCGCATTTCAAACATAGCACATAGTCCAAATGTATCCAAATGTATAGGAAGTATTGGAAGATAAGGTGCTATCAATTCAGCTTTGAAAATCCTGCGTGATGAGCATGATGTAATTGTCATTAATGTATAATGTATACAGTATCAATGTATATTAATTTGTGTCATCTGCCTTTCATGTCCTCCTATGGATCGCTCCATCCAGCGTCCATCCATATTCTACGACCTGCGGCAGCGCTCCTCAAGTTTGGGCCAGAGCTTGGTCTCGTAAATGCCATGCCTCAAGGTGCCAAAACCATGCATGTCCTGACTCAACTTGATCCAACTTCATGAATTGAAGAAGTGTCTCTTCCCTTAACCTGATGTGTGGTTTGATCATGTTTCATCAACCCATATGTTTTGTATTTTTTGGCTTCCTTTCTTTGAGTTGCTCACATGCTGCGCAGCCAAGTTTCAGGAATTCACGAGATCGTGCCAAGCTGTCCTTGCAGCACAGTTCAAGCCAACAAGTCCACCCAACTGGTCAAAAAATATCAAACATGTGTGAGAAAAAAAAAAACATCATCATGAATCAACCGGATCACTGCAGGACGGCCAGCTGCATAACCCCAAGAAAATCATAGCTTGAGAAACATCTCTGTCAGCTTTGCCAAGCTACTCGCATATAGGCCCGGTGCCACTCTTCATATTGCTCAAAGAAAACTTCAGGAAGGCCCGCCTCTGGAAGACCACCTTTGCATAATCGCTGGGTATCACTAGGAATTGTCAATGATTCTCACGTGTGCAGTTCGTGAAACTTGCGAATGCTGGTGATGTATGATTATAACATATTATAACTATATATATATACCATATCAATCCATATCATATATCATCATATTGTGTATCTATGGTTGCACACACAGTTTACTGTATACTTCCATTGTGCACATTGACATACACCATCTGTAAATTGTTGGGCCCCCAGGCCTGCGCATCGCAGCGACAAAGCATCTGCGGTTGCAAGCACCAGCTGCCACCAAGGCCATGGCATTAGCCACGGGGCTCTGCCATGCAAAGGGAAAACCAGTGGGGGAGTTCCGAAGTTAAATCATGAATATGTATGAATATATGTTATAGTCATAGTGAGTCATTCATAGTATTTTATAGTTACTAATTCTCCTAGGACTATTGAAAATAGAAAAGATAGGAAAAGATTCTGGCCTGTCAACTTTCATCTAAGTCTAGAAGGTAATGGTTGTTTAGCCGCCTGTCACCAGCCCTTCCCATGATGTGAGGCCTTAAACCAACCGTCAGCAGTTTGAACCAAATTATAATTAGACTGCACGCATCAGCACAACCGGTCTCTTATCACAATGCCACACAAAGGTCATAAATCATGGATGATTTCAGTGTCATTGACCATCTAGTCTACTCCAACCATGGCGCTCCAATACTTTTAATCAAAATGGACTGGAATACTGTACTTTAAAATCATAATAAGTAGTCACTACTAGTGGCTTGGATTTGTGTCTATATGCGTAAAAAAAATGTAGAGAGAAAATCCTGAAATATGTAACAAGAGCATTCCATTCCCCGGGAAAACTCTGTACCCTTGATACTCCAACTTCCACATTCGGTCCTCGGCCTGCACGCGTTTCCTCATCCGCAATCTGCAACTTGGCCGTGAGCTGTGCGACATTCAGCTCCCTCGGCTTGGGTGGGCCCTGGTAGAAAATTGGAGGAACGTTGGATACCTTTTGAACCATTTTGGTCGATGTCAGTTTATTGGACTCCAACAAGGGCTTTAAGGGATGTGTTCAATGTGGATTTTCTGGACCCAAGAGTGTAAATATAATGAGGCAACAGCTTTATTTCTGCCATGGCACGCTTCAGTGAGGTCCTGCTCACAGGGAAGAAGCTGAGAACTGGAGAGTTTGTGGCTTTAACTCTGCAAGCTCCCTCTCTCTCTCTCTTTCTGTCTCTCTCTCTCTCCCCCCTCTCTCTCCCCCCTCTCTCTCGCTTTTTCGGTTCACCTATGTATAAAATGTATCTACATGTAATTAATGTATATATATACTGCTATATACTGTATATATATACGTATATATATATATATATAATATACGTATATATACACGCGCTATGTACTGATATGCTATACTATACATGTATCAAGAATTATCTGGACATATTATATATTTTTGTATAATATTATATCATATTATGTTGGGAAGTCTTCTGCAATTCCATCTTAAATTGGGACATCATGGGGGACATCATGGGACATCTCATCGGTCCAGGCACGTTTGCGCTTCTTTTTATCTGTGGCCGACACAACTTCCAACGACTAAGCGTTGGAAATGTTCAAGGAGTTGTGACCCGCAAGAAGCACAAGCAACTGTCTTCAGGTTGCAATAGGCTGTTCGTTTCAACTCATTCCAAACAAGAAAAATAGTCAAATCGTCAATTGAATTGAAGGTGTTTGTCATCCCAGATAAGAAGCCAAAAATATCAAACAGAATGAAGGTCCCTCATGCAAAGAATTTGAGATCAAGCAGCTACTTTGCAGCTTCTGACAGGTCAGCATGCTGGTCATCAAACTTCCTCCCGTTCTGTTCAAGTCGGGACTGCGTTAAAGCACCCATCCTCTGATTCAAAACCCTACCAGCCACAATGAGCGTTGATGATACCAGCCATCTGACAATATGAGCAGGAAAAAACAACTGTAAAAATCACATTCCAAGACTGTGGGCAAGGTTGGGCCGCCCATTACCTCACCTTGGCTGTTTTCATGGGGAAAACTGCATCCTCAGCCGCACCTTTGCTTCATCCAGGCTGCAGCATCTTCCAAGCAGCTGCGGGTGGCAGCCATCTCCTCATTGGTCCATTCGATTCCTTCAAAAGAGCCCGGCATGCAACAGAAGAGCTCGGCGTGGTACACACCATCATACAACCTGGTGCTGCGACCCGAAAAATCCGAAAACACATCAAAACATGTATAAAAACAGGTATAAAAAAACATAGTCCCTGTGAGTCTAAGTGCCTCCAAAGGAGTGTCGTTTGTCGGCCCTGAACGAAAGACCAAAATCGGAAACCAAAGACACAAAAAGGAAACTGCTGCATTTGGACTCCAACACATCATTAAGATCCACTATAGTGACTCAGGGATTGAAACACAGATTTGCAATGATTTTCCTCTGCATCCCGGTTTTCTGTGCCTGAAAATGTGGACTGGGAGGTCAAATACCCAAAAGCCGGAATTTCTTGTGTGCTCCGCATTTCTACCAAAAGTCTCCAAAAGTTCTTAAACAAAATGTGCAGGATTCGTGCTTCCAACCTTTTTTTTGGCCAAACCTTGAAACTTGGAAATAGGATGAAATAGGTATTTATGTTCATTCTGATTCATGCTTCCTTTTTAAGTTGGTAGTGCTGGAGTCCGAGGGGTCCCTGGCAGATACTGGGGAATCAGATTATTGCATGTTGGTGCACCGACTGCCAGTTTGCACTCCAATGGTACAGTCAATTTTCGTTTACAGGCGTATGCTCAAGATACATTTTGAAGTCTTTTGATGTCTTTGATATTCTTTTGCTACTAACATGGTCTTTGCCGAAAGACCTCCCTTAGGAAGGTCTTTGGAATTTAGGGGTAGTGGAATCTTGATATTGGAGCGGGCGGATGTCTGAGTATTCTTGTTCAGACACGTTCATGCATTCGTTCATGCATTGCGTTTTGCACATGGAAGGCTTCTCAAATGTTCTGCTCGCAAAAAATAAGGAAAAGCAAATAACGAATGATTATTATAGTTCGCAACTTTGCAGGAAGACCATACGGAATGATATCAATCAAATCCATCTGAAAGGAAATGAACGGATGACAAGCAGTAGTTGAGAAGACAACACACAAAGAAATGTGGATTCAATATCCTCATGTCAATCTATCTCCGTTGGATACAACATGGCATTTCTTCGCACAAGTGATTGATCTTGGCCAAGAGGCTTCAAGGCCTTGTCCTTTGCAACTGCCTCCTCATAGAGCTTCTGTGATGTTGCTGGGTCCGTCACCTTATCCGCTTTGCCATGAAGGATGATGAAGGGGGTCTGCATCTCGGACATGTGGCCATCCAACCAATCTGGATAGGTGAAGCCAAACTCGCGGCCTCCGGCCGAACTAAGCTGGGGTTCAACAACTTGGCCAAGGAAATGCTCCGGGAAACCCGGATGAGAAAAACTGCAAAAGTGCTGCTACAAGTCTAGGTTGTCAAAATGTCTTTCTCCTGCAACCTAAAAATTCGAGAAGTTTCCCAAAGTATCCCTCCGTGCCTGTGCCCAGCCTCGGCTTTAAGCCTTGCCTAAGCTAAGAACCACTTTGACATCAAATCCCAAGCAGAAAAATTGGAACTTGCGAAATGAATCAAGCGAACCCCCACCCCCCAGCAAGCCCGAGGGGATTGCGATATGATTGAAGTTCGGATGGTACGTTTCTGAATCTGAAACTAAGCAACATGCTAATCAATGTTTACAGTGCAAATAAATCGCATATATAATCAAACATAATCAAAACATCATTAAAACATGAAGCAAACAATTTTTGTCTCACCAGAGTTCCAACAATTTCCCCATCTGTTCCCACGCAGGTCGCATCATGTCGTAACATGTCGTAACCAAGTGTCATGGACAGAGGGTTCCTGTCATTCACCTGGCTTCCATGTTCCGGGATGCGAAAGTCCAAGGTCGTCACCTCCTGAGCAAAGGGCCGGGCTCGATGGTTTTCCTCTGAGAGGACAAGGGTAGCATAAGAAACTCAGAAAGAACTAAAGCCACTGAACTAAACTACTCTAAACTAATTATGTTATCATATCATATTATATTATATATATATGTGTGTGTGTAATTGATGCACATCGATCATGATATGAATCATTTGCTTTAAGATGTTGAATGTTGATGCTTTCTACTAGTAAACTATAGTAGCAACCCAAATCAAACGGAAAAGATCGGAAATGCGCCATGCTGAGGCATCCAAGCACACCCAAGCACATGAGCAGCACAAGCACGGACATTCTCCACAGTTCTCCACATGTTGCTGCCAGGTCTCTACGCTAGGTGTGATTGGCCAGGAGGGCATCAGTGGTGCAACAACGTGTTTGAAGAATTGCTGAACGATCCAAGGAGGCTTCACATCGTCACTCACGGTGAGCATGGGGCACATCAGCACGGCACCTGCAAATGAAAAATCATGGATTCTGTGCAGATTCCATCCAGCCTTTCGTGCCAGTTCTACATTATTGTCTTTTATGATAATTTAATATCATTTATGTTGCTACTTACGCGCTGCTTTGGTGGACACAATTTCTGGTTCTGACATGTCCTGACTGAAATGGCTAAAAGACCAGGCTGAGGACAGCCCTCGAAAATTGGAAGGAATCCTGTATACTTTCAAAGTTATACAGATTGTGCCATTATAGGGCAGATAATGGTAGATAGATAGATAGATAGATAGATAGATATTATGTGCGTGTGTATATGTATATGCGGTGTGTATACAGAATCATGACATCAGCACTCTTGGAAGCTGCTCTGTCGCCTCGGAAAAAAGTGGGCCGTTGTAAGCACAAGCAGACCGACAGTCCACCGCCCAAGGAGCCACCGGAGACAAAGATTGGGAGCTCTCCCGAGACCTCCTGCAACAAAAATTGCAGGGCCCAAAGACAAGGTCTGGTCTTGGGATTGTGCCTATGTAGGGCCTACACAACATCAAACACGGCCATAGCGCAATCATGGGAAATCCATGCTGTGTAATGACTGATGTATGCATGCGATTCCTCACATGTTTGGGATCTATGAGAAGATTGTACACTTGCCAGGGCTACCAGGCTGGAAAAAGCGTTGTGTCTAGATTTGAGCTGCGTGCCTAGATGTGATAGTAAAATTCAGTCGTTTGCGCACCTCCTTAACCATGAAGTCAATGGCTTCCCAAATAGTGTCGACCCAAGCCTGCGAATCTCAATGCTGGCAACCCTGACAACACTGGCACACAAGGCACTTGCAGAGTCAACATAAGCAGGAAAGCTCGCTTTATCTTCCAATCGGCATGCTGGGGCCTGCGCTATGCCGCTATGGCTTACTCTTCAAATCTGAATTATCCATTTCAGCCCTGACCCCTTGACCCGCAGCTGTCCCATGATGCCATGGCGCACCCACCAGTCTGGTACATAGGTCAACTCACCGTCAGATCTGCCATGCCCCGGCAAATCGGGACACAGCACCAGGGCCCCGCGTCGAGCCAATTCGGCAAGGAAGTGCAAGAACAGGTCGCTGCTGGCCATATAACCTCAGGTGACCATAGGTGACCACTATGGATGTCCGAAATGGATATTTCTGGGGGGCCCAAGTGATTCCAAACGATATGACAGAAATATGATAGATAAATTAGATAATGATATATATATATATACCAATAGTTTGTGGGGGAGCAAAGGGATCTGCCAAGGCCGGTGGTGTATGTTTATCCTGGGATAATGGTTCCCGCTCAAGAGCAAGAGAGGCTTGACTTTCAGCAGGAACCTCATGTCTCCTCATTTTTCAACACTTTAACATCTTTAACTTGGTGCAATTCCACTGCCCTCTTTGGAAAAAAACAAGCACCATGGCACCATGCCCGGCAAATGTTGGCAACCAGATGACCCAGGGATTTGCCAAGGCACCGTGTAGGAAGATGCAAACATGCGTCACTGCCTGCCATTTGGCTTCCCGATGCTTCCCGCCATCCCCCCAATTGGCCCAAGCCGCATCTTCAAAACGCGGTGGATCCTTGGATCCGTTGCTCGCCTTGTTCTTGGGCCTGATGCATTGGTAGAAGACTTCGGTGCCATCCTGCTGCGGGCACCAGCCAGCGCCACTAGCAACTACTTCACAACACACAAGCCTCAAGCTTCGCCATCCTGCGCTTCAGCTGCAGGTCAGTGGCACTCATCACCTGGAGAAATTGGTTGGAAGTTGATGCTTGTCGGATTGTTTTTTGATTGATTTTTAAGGGTGTTTAAGTACACCAAAATTTACAATTGGGAAAAGCAGCTGCGACAACATGAGACAGCTGTTGGGATGTACCAAATTGATCCAAAATTGGAAAAACTTAGCATACATAAATAGAAAGATAGAAAGAGAGAAAGATAGACAGACAGACAGACAGACAGACAGACAGATAGATAGATAGATAGAACGATAGATGCATAGATGCATAGATAGATCGATAGATGCATAGATGCATAGATAGATAGATAGATAGATAGATAGAACGATAGAACGATAGAACGATAGATTGCATAGATGCATAGATGCATAGATGCATAGATGCATAGATGCATAGATGCATAGATAGATAGATAGATAGATAGAATAGATTAGATTAGATTAGATTAGATTAGATTAGATAGATAGATAGATATAGATAGGAGATAGATAGGAGATAGATAGGAGATAGATAGGAGATAGATAGGAGATAGATAGGAGATAGATAGGAGATAGATAGAGATAGATAGAGATAGATAGAGATAGATAGAGATAGATAGAGATAGATAGAGATAGATAGAGATAGAGATAGATAGAGATAGATAGAGATAGATAGAGATAGAGATAGATAGAGATAGATAGAGATAGATAGAGATAGATAGAGATATATAGAGATAGCTAGAGATAGCTAGAGATAGATAGAGATAGATAGAGATAGATAGAGATAGATAGAGATAGATAGAGATAGATAGATGATAGATAGAGATAGCTAGAGATAGACAGAGATAGATAGAGAGAGATAGAGATAGCTAGAGATAGAGATAGATAGAGAGATAGATAGAGAGATAGATAGAGATAGATAGAAATAGATAGATAAAGATAGATAGAGAATTAGATAAAGAGATAGAGAGATAGATAGATAGATAGAGAAATAGATAGGAGATAGATAGAGATAGATAGAGATAGATAGAGATAGATAGAGATAGATAGAGATAGATAGAGATAGATAGAGATAGATAGAGATAGATAGAGATTGATAGAGATAGATAGAGATAGATAGAGATAGATAGAGACAGATAGATATAGATATAGATAGATATAGATAGATATAGATAGATATAGATAGATATAGATAGATAGATAGATAGTGATAAATAGATTGAGATAGATAGATAGAGATAGAGATAGAGATAGAGATAGAGATAGAGATAGAGATAGAGATAGAGATAGAGATAGGTAGATAGATAGGTAGATAGATAGATAGAGAGATAGAGAGAATGGAGAGATAAGATAGATAAGATAGATAAGATAGATAAGAAAGATAAGATAGATAAGATAGATAAGATAGACAAGATAGACAAGATAGATAGATAGATAGATAGATGGAGATAGATAGAGATAGATAGAGATAGATAGAGATAGATAGAGATAGATAGAGATAGATAGAGATAGATAGAGATAGATAGAGATAGATAGAGATAGATAGAGATAGATAGAGATAGAGATAGATAGAGAGATAGATAGAGAGATAGATAGAGATAGATAGAAATAGATAGATAAAGATAGATAGAGAATTAGATAAAGAGATAGAGAGATAGATAGATAGATAGATAGAGAAATAGATAGGAGATAGATAGAGATAGATAGAGATAGATAGAGATAGATAGAGATAGATAGAGATAGATAGAGATAGATAGATAGATAGATGGATGGATAGATAGATAAGATAAGATAAGATAAGATAAAATAAGATAAGATAAGATAAGACAAGACAGATAAGATAAGAAAAGATTAGATTAGATTAAGATTAAGATTGAGATTAAGATCAAGATTAAGATTAAGATTTAAGATTAAGATTAAGATTAGATTAGATTAGATTAAGATTAAAATTAAGATTAAGATTAAGATTAGATTAGATTCAGATTAAGATTAAGATTAGATTTAGATTTAGATTAGATTGACATAGATTGACATAGATTGACATAGATTGACATAGATTGACCAGCTGCAGATCAGCCTTGACAGCTCCGACCCAGCTTCCCAGCTTCCGGCAACCCAGGTTCCCCACAAGACTTCCACTAACTCCGTTTTCAGATTGAAACGTTGCATTGTTTGATTTGAGGCCCAAATTTTCGAATTTGCCTCAGACCTTGGCTTCATTTTTTCTAACTACGCCTCAGCCAGTTGACAACAACGAAAACAAAGAAGGTTTGTGAGTTGCCGTGCGACAGGAATACCTAATAATTGCTTGATGAAGGACAAAACGTGCGACAATGGATCCATTCAATTGAAGCAAACAGGACTGGGGCTGATTGAGCCATGCTCACGGCCTGTTCTTCAGGCCATCAGTTGAAAATGAGAGACGGCACCACTTGCCATGAGCAGGGCAAGGTTTTTGCCTCAGCCATGGCGGACGCTTCATCACAATGGTCACACAGAATCACTGCCTTGCGCAGCACATGGGACTGTAGGATGCCAATACAGCTATGCAGGGATTTCCAATGAGCCACCAGCACCAACTCTGCGATGTCGTTGGAATCTTCATGCGCAGACACCCAGGACACCAGTAAGGCATTGCCCAAAATGACTTTGTAGCCCAGGGACCGCAAGGCATCTGCGAAACGTTGCCCCAATCGGCCCAAGAAGCACCTCCCAGTCAAGGCGATGGACACATTCCGGGCGCCCGAGGCGGCCTCGGCCAATTCCAATAGCACCGGATCTGCCAGGACGTCTTGGCTGCGGCCCAAGTTCCGCCAGGCGGTGCCATGATGAATCACCGTCAAGCTGGGCAATGCTGACCTTGGTGACCCTCGTTGGGACCTGGGTGGCTTGTTTCCAAGCCCCGAGGGATCAGCTAGTTCGGATGGCGGCTCAGCTTGCACCTCACTATCCACAATGGCGGGCACCGTGTTTGGCCGACTTCGGAGCTTCATCCGGGCACTGCGAAGGCCTGAGAAGGTGGACCTCATTGGGTCAGGGACACTGCTCGGCTTGTCCTCCTGGATGTCCTCGTGATGTCTGGGCACTGGAAGCTGGGGCGACAGAGAGCGCTGAAAGGCTTGCAGCCTTCGGGTTTGCATCCTGGGAGCCAGCTTCGCATCAGAATCATCACACATGGCGAGTTCACACACCTCCGACACAACTTCCGTTTCAAATGTGCTGTATCTGCGTGGCTGCCGGGCTTCATGTGGCCCAATCCACACAGGCTTGGGATCCACTTGTAATGTTTTGACCGGCTTGCCGACGGTGAACCGCAGGAGTGGCTTCAGCTGATTTGGCTCCTCCAACCCCTCCACTTCCGTGGAAGTCAGGGGCAGCAGCACCTCCGCAGCATTGGGCGCATCCCCGCCCACGCGCAGGGCCAGGCCCCCGAAGCGCCCCAGGCTCACCACTTTCCCCAAGATCCGCATCTTGACCGCCTGAAAGGCTGGCAGAAACATGGCCGCACGTTGTTTGGCATAGCCACGGGGCTGTAGGACACAAGCTGACTTCCAAGTGCCATCCAAACAACTCTGCAGGGAAGCTGACAGGATACAGCTGCTACTGCTGCCAGCAGTGAAACTGCCCAAGGCTAAGGACAAGGCTCGTCGGCTGCGATTTTCCAGTTCCACATGGAGCTCTACACGTTCCCGGCTGCCATAGCTGGAAAGTTTCACCCTACATCCCGACCCGCCGGAATCTGGACTGGGCTGTTCCAGTTCCATGGTACAGGAGCCTACGTAGCTGAGGACAAGTCTTGGTTTAGGTGATGAGGGTTCAGGTGCCTCATTCATTTCCAGAAACATGGCAAGTTCTCATATTATAGAGCACGCCAATATATGCCATATGTATACTGAGCTTCTGAAAGCAACATGATGCAAAATACACACAGGGGGAGTTCTCCCACCCTGCCCATTGTGACCACACCTGCTTGGCACCGCTAGTGAGTGGCACGTCTAAAGGGTAAAGTTCTCGGCGTTGCTCGCCAGTGTCTATGTGGGAGATGCCTGCCGACCATAGATCTTCGGAGGTCACGTTAAAAACGACATGCTGCAACCAACGGCAGTCTGTGCCAGTTGGGTCCATTTGTACCAAGGGGCCATGCAGCAAACCCTTCCGAGCTCTGCAGGTCACCAAGGTGCCTGCCAAGAGTTTTCCATCATGATGATTCATGATTCATGATTCATGATCATGATCACGATCGTGATGATGATGATGATGATGATGATGATGATGATGATGATGATGATTCATGATTCATGATCATGATCACGATCGTGATGATGATGATGATGATGAATATGAATGTGAATGTGAATGTGAATATGAATGTGAATGTGAATATGAATATGAATACGCTGTTTCAGGGCAACTTGCTACCAACGTGACTGCGTGACATGTTTCAAACATATCAAGCCGTTTCGACTGTTTCAACTGGCATCAACAACAACTGGCCTGCTCCAAGAATGGATGCAGCCTCAATTAACACCATGGCATGCTGAGCAAAGGACAGAGCAAAATGTGGCGAGATTTTGCCTTAAATCTTCAACAATCTTCAATGGATGTGATATGGTTGTCATTTCCACCATTTTCCTCCAGCCGTCAACAAAATGTACAAACATCAGCTGGATGTGAATCAAAAACGAAGGAGTTCAGGCCTTAGAGCAAGTGGCTGCGGACATGTCGAGCCGGGATTAAGTCGTGTCATGCAGAACCAGTCCTTAGCAAAAATGTGTAGACAGTGTAGACCCCAAGTGGGCACAACGTCACAATGTCCCCATCAATTTTGGGGAAGCAAGTTATGTGATGTTATGTGAACAAAACATTAGCAATTCTGAATGATCCGAGTCTTCCCGTCTCAAGTCAGCTGCTTCGGCCATATCCGACGTCGACCCCACGACCCGTTGGAACAGCACCGTGTATGGACGTGGGAACTGGAGTTGCCAGCTATTTCCAAACCTATTACTTTCCACTACTATAATTTCCACCAAGTTCGGCCCAAGAAAACCGCCCATCTGAAGCAGGGATTCCAATTCCCCCAAGGGGAACTGCCAGGGACGAAGTGCTGCCAACCGAACCCATCTGTAGATATTTCATGATATTTCCATCATGACCTCGGGTAAATCTTTTTCTACACTTAATAATTATTATTAACCAAATTAGCTGACCATGGCATAATGGGGCACAACGACCTCTCTCAAATCCCGTGGTTGATCATCTCTTTCCCCACTCACTTGGTGGTAAATCCCCCATTTCGACGTCCCCAAGCCATATCAATCCGAATCCATATCACACATATTGTTGAATCGCATGCCGCATGATTATATTATATAGATTCTGTAGATTCTAAATGTCCAGTGGTTTCTCCATGACAGTATATCAATGATGAGTTGATGTCAGTGTCAGTTATATAATTATATATATCATTAGATAATTTGATTGACCAAAAACGATTGTCAGTTATATAACATTATATCCCATGATTTTGGACAAGTTTTCGTCAGCTCCCCCGGTCCTTGGAGTAGTCCTTGCCGCTGCTCTGTGCCTTTGCCTGGATCAATTCTCGGGTCTTCAGGTCCAGCTCGGCCCGTAAGGCCTGACGCTCCTGCGCCATTTTTGGGGTGAAACGATGTGAAACGATGTGATAAAAAAGCTGGGAGACCCTGGTTTTATGTGTTTTTTAATGGATGTTCAATGATATGATATAATATAATGATTTTCCCTCGGAAAATTGGGGGATGGCGATCCATGTCAGAAACCTTTTTGCACGTTGCCTCGGTGCCCCGTCGTGCATCAACCTGAATGGTTTGTTATCTAATATAAGATCATTCCAGTTGGTTCAAGAAATTCAAGGACCATCTGACGATCTTCTTGAGCTGTTTGGACTGTGTAGGTTGATTCCTTTTCTGCTTGCAACCACGCAGGCTGCATGTTGGTGCGGATGGAGATCAGGGCTTTGCCTCAGCGACAAGGTGGCACACGGGCATACAGTGAAGATTCTGCGGCTAAAACGGCTATACGTATTAGTATGGCTCTCTTTTTAAGCTAGCATATATATATATATTACATATATATATATGCACATTTTGCATAATTCTTGCATTATATACTGCATGCAAATATATGAATCAGAATCAAGAGTTTTGAATCTTGGGCTACAAAATGCAGGAGAGATGCCAAAGTCTGCATACGATCTACATTCTAATCATTAATCATTCTATCAGATTCTTTTGAATCATCCCATGAATCGGGCAAGAAGTTGCAAAGCCGTCCGCAGTCGAGGCGCCAAGTGCCAAGTTTGGAAAGAGCAACAGGGACAGCAAAGGCTGCCCAGTCACAGGAGACTTGGGTTTGCTCCCAGCTTCTGTCTGCTGGAACCAGTCCTGGATCAGTCGCTCAGTCCCTCTCGTCTCCGAATGCAAACAACATCAAACAACAAAACAAACAGAAACAAACCTGGGACATCCTGGGATTCTGAAAAGGATGCACAGCAGGAGTCCTGAATGCACCTGCGACAGTAGGTATGGCCTTGGCAAAGGGTTACATCCAGGGGATGACGGCAAAGGACAGGCGCCTGCTGCTCAGCTATCTACCTTGATTCATTCCCTCTACTAGAGGTGACCAAAAATATACCAAAATACATAGCACCTCCATGGACCTCCTAGAGCCATTTCACCTCCAGTTCCCTTCTTCAACCGAGAAGGCTGGACGCCCAAGTCTGGCGAACATGTCCCCTACAGCCCACAGGCAAACTTCAATAGCTCTATGTGCAAGGCCATCAACTGCCATCACGGGGTCCTGACGGCAGAAGCCGCTATAAGCCGTTGGGTTGGGATGTTGCAGGCCTCAAGCTACCCATCCCTAGCTCCTCCAACATCTCATGGCACAAAGGGCACACCAAGCCACTGACATTCCTCAGGACTTTGCGGAAATTCGGTTGGATCTGGCCGGCTTGAAGTGCAATCAATTTCCAACACCCCACTCTATAAATTGTGATATATTGTGGAAAATTTGTGGAATATAGAGAATAATATAGAGAATAATTGATGAATATTTGCAACACCCCAATGGATATTGATGATTTTTTTTTCATTGTGGATGCAGCGACTTTTCGCCGTCCACGGGACTTGACCCCAAATCCCACCGAATCGACACCTTGGAATCCACGCGAAGCACGCGAGCAGTCTGTACTGCTGGCGATGTTTGCGCTTCTAGGCTTGGCCATTGCCAAAGTTCCAAAACTTCAGTACCACTTAAAGTACAGTGGAAGTAGGCATCCTGGTTACCACCCCCCGTATCCATGTGCATAAGCTAAAAACACCGTAAAATACCGTACGAAACTACTTTTTCCATCTTTTTCCAGAATGATTTCTTGTGAAATGCGTTATTTTCTGGTTATTGATTTTGTCGAGAGCGTGACGTCTCAGTGATGATATCTATGTAATTCTATGTATATAATTGATTATAATTGTATAATATTGTATATATTCTATGTAGGAGATTCTGTTTTCTGATTTTAGGACATTGTAGTTCCGCGGAGATGAACAATGCTTGATAAAGTCCAAATCGTGAGAACTTCGTTTTGCACTGTGTTTTACCATGTATTTTGCTCTTAGTTGACATGTTCAGGCATCACATGGAAGCAAGTATTGCCTGGGGGACATGTTTTGAGTACGTCCATAGAAGGTCAGCAATCCTTGATCATTTGTGTCATCATGTGTGCTTAATCTTAGTCAAGCGAGAAACAGTGGGTGGAAACCAGGACGGGTACCTCGAAGTACAGTTGGTGCTTTCGAATTATAAAAATCCATGCTACGGGTGAAACGGATAAGGTTCGAACAACTACCGTGACCGCGCACTTGTGTATGCAAGCCCAATTGGACAAGCAATCTGTGCGGAAAATGCGCGGTCACGTGTAGTGTTTCGTAATGTTAATGTTGAAGTTCTCCACATCACCAGGCTCGAAGCTATCGCGATCCTTGGGAACAGAAAACAACCCTTGAGACTCTGCTTCTAGGCACGTCTAAACGCCACGCAGGTGCAGCATGCCAACATATTTCAATAGGGTTGGCGATAATTACATGTATTTCTGTAAAAGGCGGACCTACCTCGTTTTTTTATGTTTTTTTGGGGCCATCTCGGTTTGCACCTAACGGGTTTAAAACGGAAAGTATGCCAACCCGTAAACTACATAAACAGGTGTGTAAAATCAAAGCCGTTGCTCGTGATATCTATATATGCATTACTGTCTGGCTTCCCTCCTTGACGAAAGCAGCGCACACTTTTGTGCCAGGGTCAAGTGCCTGCTGCAAAGAAAGGCAAAATGATACCACATGTAGGCACTTCAGCCATACACATGGGCAAATTCGAAGAAAAAACTCCCACTGCCCTCGGAGGAGCTCGGGGAGGTGGAGGGAGTCTCAAAGCTCCGGTCAGCTCAGACATCACGCATGCTACCCCTTGTGGAGAACACATGCATTACTGTCTGGCTTCCCTCCTTGACGAAAGCAGCGCACACTTTTGTGCCAGGGTCAAGTGCCTGCTGCAAAGAAAGGCAAAATGATACCACATGTAGGCACTTCAGCCATACACATGGGCAAATTCGAAGAAAAAACTCCCACTGCCCTCAACCACCCCCTCCACGCGTCCCTGACTTGGCAGCCAGAAAGAAAGTTCTGGCTGCGCGAATTAAAGGTTCAGCAGCCATGGGAATGGTGAGGGCAGCGAGTTCTTGCAAAGACTGGTCGAGGTAGAGGCGCGCTGTAGCAATATGTTGCCACCTGCCTTTGGCAAGAAGCTGATCAAAGCCCATGCCTTCACGGTAAGCGCTTGTTGCAGCGCCTCTCCTCAAAGAGTAGGGCAAATAATTGAGCCCTTCCAACTTAAGCGCCTGAACCACCTCCTTCCACAGGGTGCGGAACCGAGGGGCTGTGGTCTCAACTAAGAGATCACCAGGCGCTTTCCCTTTACACAAACATCTGAGGCTATAGATTCCCATCTCTTCAGTGATGAGAACCTTCTCCTGTGTCAGGAGGTTTCGTTGTGCTGTTTTGGTGTCATGCAAAAACAGAATTGCTGACTGATGGCCATACCTCGGCAGCACCACATCCTGGCGACGTAGCTGGAACATCTCCCCCGTTCTAAGCAAGCCACAAAAACCCACGACGACTAAGTGGGCCAAATCATCCCATTGCCAACGGAGGAAAACTCCGGCAAAGCCTAGGAGAAGCTTAGGATCCAGGGGCGTCGCTCTGCGAGGCTGCTCCAGTTTATTCCACAAAGAAAGGAGCCGCCAGCTCTGTCTCAGCTGGCCCTTCAAAGTAGGCTGGTGAAACTGTAAGGCAGCCAATGCATAGCTGGCCACAGACTTTGTATCTCCGTCTTCCCACAACCTCTCAATGTAGTCGGACAAGATACCATCCAGACCAGGCGTAGAAAGAAGCCTGTCTGTTGAAACACCGGCAAACTCAGCCACTTCTTTCAAAGAGTGCTGATACCGCTCTTTTGTTCCTTGGGTCACCCTTTGATCACTCAACCGGCCAATTCTCTGACGCTCCCGTTTGCGCTCTGCCTTGCTGTCCATATATTTAATCTGCTTCGGCATATTTCCTGCTGGGGGCGTCCGCAGGATTTAGCTTGGACATGATCCAAGCCCAAAGCGGGTAAAGGTTCAAGGCAAGGCAAAGAGCACAGATGCGTCTGAGGATCCGGTTGATTTTTCGTGATGATGACCGTCCTTTGGCTAGCACGGACAAGCAAATCTGCGAGTCAGACGGGTGAAGGAACCTGCAGGAGTGAAAGGTTGAGCTCCGAGCTCTCCACTCCAGTGTCCGTAGAATGCACCGAAGCTCCAACAGGTTGATGTGCTCTCTCCGCTGCCATTTCCACGCTTGCGCTACTTTCCAGACCCACCTCCGGGGATCAATCGTGCTGCGGACCATGGCATCAGGCCGATAGGCCACATTCAGGTCCAACCTGACATCTGAGCCTCGGAACTCGGCTCGCCTCAAGTACTGATGGACCAGCCGGACCCCCAAAAGGCTTGGGTCTCCATCCTTTCCCGGATGGCTGCACAGCCTGAGCCATTCGGCCCTCTGGCTGTTCTTGTCCAAGCACATCACCTTTTCTTCCTCCACCAGCTCCTTGAACTCCTCTGAGGCCTTCACTCCTTCAACATCTATCAACCCAAAGTCATCAAAATGTTGCTTGTCCATCGCCTCATGCAATTTCTCCACTATGGCCTTTGCCCCCATTGGGTCTGTGCGAACCTGCATGGACCAGAGCCAAAGATCCAGCAGGCAGGCCACTGTCACTGTGTGAAAGCTATTGCCCAGCGCGGCCTCCCGCTCCACCGTCTGGTCAATTTTCTCCTGCTCACTTTGGGGCTCCTTTTTGTGAAGCGCCAGGGTGTAGCCCGTGGGAAATCCCATCAACCTTTCTCGTTCTCCCACGCTAGCCACGCGCTTGCTTCCTGACCCATCCTGCTTTTCAAAAAGGTATTGGGGCAGGTAGGTGTAGGGAGGAAACTTCATCCTGTCCCCCTGCCAGAGCCTGACCGTGGCCTCATCACAACTTTTCAAGCCCGCGGGCTCTACTGGGGGTTTCCTCCTTGGGATCGCCCTTGTGAAAGTGGGCAGCTTGAGCTGGTCATCCTCCTCACCTGCAGTCCACTTCCATCCCTCATCGGCCACCTTACCAATGGGTTCCGAGTGCTCCTCAAAAACCACTGCATCATACAGGCCAAAGTGCTCTCGAGTGAAGCTCCCATGATCTTCCAGCGCCACATTTGACCAATACAGTCGCGGCCTTCTCACCCGCGATAGCCCACTCGAGCAGACGAGGAGCGGCTTTGAGCCCAGGGTGCCTGTCATCTCCTCGATGTCCTCATCGTCACCAACCACATTCTCTAACATCAGAAGGCACCAAACTCGCATCTCTTCCGCCATTTCCTCGATCCAGCCCAAGATTTCAGTATACTTGTAAAACAGCTGGGACCGGGGATCAGCAAGGTGTTCTCTGTTTGCTGATAAACGTGACAATCCTTGGCAAGGAGATCCTCCTCCAGCTACCACCCCAGTCAGCCCCGGGACACTCCTCATCATTCTTTCAACCTCCTTCTTGGTCACCTTTTCGATATCCAACCAGATATCACATCCTGGCCACCGCACTGAGTTCAACCTTCTGCAAGCTGGATCCTTTTCCACCACCACTAGGCGATCAATTTTCACCTCTGCCAATTCCAACGCCCGTGACAAACCACCTAGACCGGCAAAGAAATCGAACACAAGAATCACCTGCGGCTCATCCAGACAGCTCGTCTCATCCGGGCACTCATCAACCCCTTCTTCAATGCAATAGACTTCACGCAATCCTTGACCTGTCAGCCGGCCCCCATAGACAATGCCACCACCGCTTTCACTGGCATCAGCTGCTGTCACCACATCATGAATCCTGGACCTCAAGTCCGTGACTCGGAGCGGCTGGCTCATGGCTGCCATCAGAATTTCTTCAACACCCTTGACGGACAGGTCAATCATCACCTGACCATCGCTGATCTCCTTCCACAAGTAGTCAAAGATTCCGAACAGCGGCCTGCGAAACTGCATCGTGTGGACCTCCTTTCCCAGGAAAACTTGGAGGCTCTTCCGAGGGGCCTTCTCCTGACGCAGGATCCACATACCCAAAGAGATGCTCTCCAGAGCCCTCCGTGTGGCCCCTTTCAACAGCCCCTTTTCGCCGTCCAGCACGGCTCCCAGTTTTTCTCCTTTCTCCACACGCACCAACGACTTGTCCGGGCAGACAGGGATCCCCCAATGCTGGTACGCCCGTCTAAGCCTTTCCTGCTCCTCTGAGGCCTTCCCTTCAAGATCATCAGCAACTCGCTTTTCCATCACTTCAATCAAGCTTGTGTCATCGAGATATAGGCTCCATAGCTTCTCCTCCACTTCCAAGTCGGGGAATTGACTGTCCCGACGAATTTCGCAGCTGCCCAGCAATCCGGCTCCCCCTCTCAGAGGATTTCTCAATGCGAGTCGGCGATGTGCGTGTTGGAGCACACCTACCGCTGATGCCCAGCCCATCGGCAGGACAGTGGCCCCAACATGAACCTTTCCAGGCTTGTCAATGCCCAGCACTCGCCAGTCGACCGGTGCCGAAAAACACATCATCCGACTCCATCCATTTGGCAAGGCAAATGGGTAGAATGCTGACACCAAATCATCTGCTGAAATGCGCAGCACCCTCCCTTGTGGCAAGACCACATGCTGCAAGGAGGGAGCGCCGCTCAGCGTCTTGACATCCCCAGTGAGGATCTTGGTCGCGGCATTGGTGCCCCTGAAGTCCATGATCAGCCTCAAAACTGGTCGCTCATCATCCAAGTACTTGCCGGGCTTGACCACTCCAAATGAGCCATTCACCAAAAATTGTCCCTTCACCTTCACGGGATCTTCAGGCCCCGCGCATACAACTCCTTCACAATCATTTCCCATTGTTCAGCGCTGGCATGAACTTTTGGCCGCGGCAAGTCATCTGGCATCTCCTCCTCCGGCAATATGTTCCCAAGGGGGTTCTCCAACTTCTCCCGCAGTTCTCCATCGCACAACTCAACCAGAGGTACACTAGCTCCGTACCCCGGCGGGGGGAGCCCAGGCATGATCTGGTCCAGTGTCAGCCTCTGCGCCTTCTCCACAACTTCGCCTTGATAGGAGATACGGACATCCCCTAGCTTTTTCCCCCATTCCCCCATGTCAGGGGACCGGGGAATCTTTTCCTTTGTCTCCGAGGTGTCATCCACAAAATTTTTAACCGTTGACCACAGCCTATCCAACGCCATCTGTTGAGCCTTGGTCACGGTCCCTTGGTGCACGGGTCCTTTTCTTCCACCTCCACACCAAAGGAAATTCACCAAGCAAACTGCCAGGCCATGCCACAACAATAGGCCAATACGGCGCATCTCCTTCCCCGCCTTTTCCTTGTTCTGCTTCTTGGCTGCCCATGATCCTGCCAACCTTCGGAACTCCCCTGACTCGAAAAGGCCTTTGAGCTCCTTGACTGTGTCTGGCAACAGCGGCAGGGGTAGTACGCCCCTCTGGCGAAGCTCCCTTTTGCCGACGTCTGACCCTGGTTCCACCAGACGCTCAAGGTATTTGCCCAAGGGGGTCCCACTGCGGTGGATGGCTAAGGCAACCAAGGCCCCATTCTGTGCCACACTTAAGCCTCCACATTCCTCTGACCGCAGCCAACCCTTAAGCGTTTCAACCATCTCCTGACTCGAGGCTTCTACTTCGACCGTCTCGAGGGACTCCTGCTCATAGGCCTCCTCTTCGGCGTTGGGCTCCGTATCGCCCCCTTTCTTCCGTCTCCTTTCCGAGTCTCCGGGTGTCCTCTTCTTCCTTTCCATCCTCCTGCTTTTCCTTGACCCTTCTTCGGCCCTGTCCCCGGAGGCAACTTCAGACCTCCTTCTCGCGGGTCTGGAGGGTCCACTCGGGTTTCCTCCTGAGGGATCTCTTTCACTTGATCGCTGATCGTCACTCGCCGCTGTGGCTCCGGACTCCTCTTCTCCTCCACTTTCCGTTCGGGGGGTGGCGTCACGGGTCCTCCTCTCATCCGGAACCCGCCGCCCGCTTCCTATTTCGGTGGCTGGCCCCGGTTCTTCTGGGTGAGCTGCTTCAGTTTTGAGTTGGCCAACTCCAGGCGTGCTGCCTTCCGTCGCTCCCCCTCCGAGGTGAGACTCGCTGATTGCGCCGGTATCAGCTCTTGATGGCGTGCAGTCTGCCATCCTCCCTCTCCGAGAGATGTCTCCAGGGCTTTGAGGCGCTGGACCATAAGGTCCCCCAGCTCCCCCAGCCGCCCTTGGATCAGCAGGTCTATGCCGGACCCCAGAGTCACCAGCTCCCGATAGTTGCGCAACCCTATCGTGCTGGCGGGGTGCTGTGTCAGCACAATCTGGTTGATGTACCCCAACATGCGGTACTTTGTCCAGTCTTCGGGCCCGTTGTCTGCTCCTGCTACTTCTCCGAGGTACCTTTGGAGCTCTTTCATGGCTCTTTTCAGGAGCCTCCCGGGGTGCTTTCGACTCAGCCGCCATAGTTCTTCCTCCCCCCGGGCAGAGGGCATTCGAAAACCTTCAGACGACTGAGAAGAGCCTGAACCTTGACTCCGGCTCTTTGAGTACTCACTGGACTTCTTATCCCTCTGCCTCCTGCGTCCTCGACCGCGACTTCTCGAGCGCCATTTTCGCTGGCCCTTCCTTTCCAGCTCCTTTGCCCGATGCAGTTCTCTCCTCTCTGCCGCTTTCCTTTCCAGCAATGCCTCCACGGACCCACGAGGAGCCCCCTGGGGACCAGCCTTCTTGTCACCTCCCAGACCGTCTCCTCCTTCTCCTTCTCCTTCTCGCGGCTCTTCATGGGCGGCTTCACGGGCAACTCGATCAAGACCAGTAGGGTCTGGCCTCTGACCACCCCCCAAGCCACGAGGGCCAGCAGGGGGTGGAGGTGGTCCCCCTGGCTCTGGGACCCTTTCTGCTGGGACAAACTTGTTGACTGCCTCCCTCACGAGTTGAACTCCAAAGTTTCTCATGTAATCATTTTCCAACATCAACAAGGGATTGACCAGTCTCCAACGCTGGACATGAATCAACTCCCTCCGGTCTCCTCGGGCCAGTCGACTCTTGCAGTCACTGAACTTCTCCTGACAAATGTGATAGACACACTTTCCCGCCTGGAGCTCTCTCGTCGCGTACCACTGGTAGTAGTCATCAGAAGCCACCAGATGGTTGGCTAGCAAAAGCCCTTCCGGGAAATTCTCCCAATCCTCTAAGACGACAAGAGCTCGTCCTTGTGGCTTTCTCTGGTTGTCATAACATTCATACTCCAAAAGGCCCCCTCGTGTCATGCATTCTCGGGCCACCTCTAGGATAGCGGCGCCAAAGCTACGGCCATCCTTCCAGCTCAAGTCTTCGGACGTCAGACCCCTGGTGACGAGTCGCTCCCAATCCTCAAGTAGGCCACCTTTTGCCAGAAGCATCCTCTTTTGCTCCTCCATTCTCTCCCCACTCTTGAGGGTCTCTTACCAACTCAAGTTGGCAAGGCTGAAGCTCAAGCTTCCCTGCCCCCAACAGTGAAGAGGGCGACCTGAATTATCCTCTTCCTTCCTCCTCGTACCCTTAACCACCCAGCTTACCCGCTCAGGCAGGCCTAGCCAGGCCACCAACAAAAGAAGGACCCCTTCTCACCCCTAGCCCACGAGAGGCCCTGAGGTGAAGGAGCCCTTTGCACTGTTGCTCACTGCCCTGCCTCTCCTAACCCTCACTCCACAGGAAGCCAAGGGAAGAAGGAGGCAGGGCAGCCTTGAGTCTCAAAGCTCCGGTCAGCTCAGACATCACGCATGCTACCCCTTGTGGAGAACACATATATACATACACACATTAATTATGTAGAATGTACGTGTAATGTGTAAATGATGCATCTATCATTTGTATACAATCTATATATACAATGCAAATATAATGTATATAATGTGCTTATGTAATACGTATTTGTAAATGAAGAGGTGCGTTTGTGTTTGTATTTGTTTTTCTGCACAATGCGGCTAAGAGCTCAGGAGCGAGTTTGCTCACGCCATACATTTGCACATATCCAAACACAAAACATGCATGGCATAATGACGAACGCAAAATGGAAACATATATATATATTATATTATATTAATATATATTTGTTTTTGTGATGTTTTGTGTCGAAAAGGTAGGTTGCTCTAAATCCACTGGCTCATCATGATGTCCATTATGCTTTGGCCATTTTGGGGGGTATAAACACCAATGTATGCATTGCAGCGGATGAACGGGGGCAAACTCAGGGGCGAGAAACCTGCTATTGCAATTCTCTACGCGCACATTTTGAAACAAAGAACTCCATGTACGAGCAGCCGTCTACAATTAGAGTGTCATTTACAATATAATACTAAAATATTTGCAAAAAAATATTCAGTATACATATACATATATAATAATAATTTTAACAATAATTTTACTTGAATATACAAAACAAAAAGGTAGGGCAAGCATGCATCCAAACCCATAATATGTTCTGGCCGGATTCGTCCAACCAATGGGATTCTCATATCTGCGAAGCCAAATGGATGAGTTGTGGCGCTGGTGGGGTCAAATGGTGCAAGCTCAACAGCCGGTGATGGGCCGCAGGCCAGGCGGCCAAATCAAGATCAAGTCCCGTTGGTCATCCCAGAAGCCCAGCCCAACCAAAGGAAGCTCCAAATCCATGAAAAAATACTGGGCGTCACATCGCTACCTAGACCTATGTTATGTTAAGTTATGTTGTATAATGTCAAATGTCCACACTTCCAACTGGTATGCCTTTTAAACATACCAAAACATACCTGTCCGATACCATGCCCCTGCTTCCAAATGACTCGAGGTCACAGCCGGTCACAGCGACGTAATTCCCGTCAAGCTGTGTGGCTGCGCGAAGGACGGGCTGCCCGCCGAGGAACGCGTTCCGCTGTTCCGCTGCCGCGGGGTCCGGCCCCTGATCCAATACATTTCACATCATTTCACCAAGGTTTGGGTGGGGGAGGCTCATATTATTTCAAATGATGTTGCAGGAAGGGATTTATCCATGATATTCAACGAGTATCATCAAATGATCCGGCTGTGCCAGGCATTATTATTATCATGATTTATCATGGAATATCCACGAATTTCTCATCTTTTGGCCCCCAGCCTGGGGCTAGAAGACGGTCGAGCAAAGCACATCACAAACCTGCAGGGCATGGAGTTTTAGCCCTGCTGCCAGGCATTGGCCAAAATCATCCAAAATCCCGATCTCCACGCTTCCGGTAGCTTAGCGGCGAGTGATACGAATGGACCGATCTGTGTATCTGCTACAGCTTAGCTGGGGAGAGGTGGATTTTCGACAGAGCAGGGCGCCAAAAAGTGCACGGAACTGCGGCAATTTAATTTGCACATTTGGCATATCGGCCCAAGCTCCAACAAGCCCCTAAGCTGCGCCCAACCCGGACCCACTTGGCTCCAACTTCGGCCCATGGCGCAACTTGCCTCCCAACTTGGACCAACCCAACCCCAATTTGCAAGTTGAGGTCCAAAATGTGGGACATGTTGTGTCTCTGTTGGGCCCAACTTGGTGTGAAGCTATCACATGGCTTCAATTTGGGGTCTATCCACAAAGCTCCTGTTCGGCCTTAAGGTGGGCTGAAGGCCAAGTTCGACCCCACTCGGCTTTTGGTTGGGCCAAGTAGGCCCGCTTCTTTCCTCTCTGTCGTATTCTCTGGGTGCGGGCGGTTCTTGTCGCGAAGCGACTCGAATATAGTTCCCAACCACATGCAGATGAGACGGAACTCATCAGAAAGACGTTGCTTCAGGGTCCCCAACCGTCTTTACCCAGCAAGTTCACCAGTTGCTGGGATGACCCTCATCCCCAACACCAATCAACATCCCCTGCCCACCATGCCATAACACGCCTGAGCCCATCTACCTTGTGAATCTTGCACACATGAACCACGCCAGACACATAGACGGTCTGTCCATCCACCCAACTCAAGGCACAATCGCCATAGCTGAAGGTCCTCCCCAGGGGAATTGATCTGTGGCTGCAACGATTATGCGAATTAGGAACTACATGTAACTAATTCGTAACTAGTTATACCATGTTGTACCTGGTGGCTGGGTTGCTTTGAATCCTAGAAACTTCCAAACCACCCAAACCACAACGTTACCAGTGGCCGTATAGATCTGTGCAGCTCATGGGTGAAATATTATGGGATTAAGATGTAGCAAGTGATATGAGTCACAGGCCCCTCAAATGATAAATGAATTTATGCCGAGCTGGAAATGCTTACAAAAAATGCTTGAACTACAGGTGAAGTCCATCAAGCAAGAATGTCCGCTCGCTGCACCAAATTGTGCTCAAATGTGGATGGAACATGACATAAATTCATGTACCACTTGAGGGTCCAGGTCACTTTAATCAGAAGGCTGGGTCCCAAAAATGTTGATCTTGGAATTTGGACTGCTGGATGATCACCCTAATGTCGAACCTCGAGTCATGGTGCCATCGCTATCAAGCTACGGGTATGGGCGCCCATTGGGCGCCCCAATATGCCCCAATGGACCCCAAGTCCAAGAGGGTTTAATTCAGTATTAAACCATCCATTTACCATTGTGGGTTCTTTGACTCGAGCAATAAACACGCAGAATGTATCTGTATGTATAATCTCTCCCTCTTTCTCTCAGGCCCATCGACTGGGCCTTCTGTCTATACTGCGGTGCTAATCTATATCAGATATATGATTATATGATAATATATCGTATATAATGTGCATATTATTATTACAAATAATATAAAATGTGAGCTACGTCTCCTCCACTCTCACCTCCCCTCATGGCCGTACAGTACCGTACATCAGGCCTGCTGGAGAGCTGGCCTTCTTGTTCCAGCATCGTGGCCAGCTCGTGAATTTGGGTCAAGAGCTTTACACCTTCCCCTTGGAAGATCTCACTGACCTTGGGAACTGAGATGAACTTCGAGGAGTTGAAGTTAAAGACTGTTAAAGTTCAAGACATTTCAAGACCCAAATGTCTCCGATGTTGACGATGTTGACTCGGGTGGTCTGCTCTGTTTCGAGGGATGGCACATGTTTTTTGTGAGTTTTTGCGAGATGTTTTCGGAGCGATCTGGTGCTGTCCATCTACATCTTTCATGGAAAATATGGGAAAAAATCACAAGTGATTTTCAGATATTTTCAGTAGTAAGGATTCTACCATTCTTGCATCCGTTCATGGCCAACCATACAAATATCATCAAATATCCAAATGTCTACCTCTGATTTGATCCAATCCTCTGTTTCAACCAAACCTGCGACATTTTAAGCTCTTAGGAAATCCATGACAATATAGGACAAGTCGCCTGCTTGCCAACCAGGAAGTCCACTGAGACTGAAGCAGCACTGACCACCAATTGAGTCATGTCAATCTCCAATAAGTTGAGCTCCTTGCCATTACGGGCGACTAGAAAAACCATGAAAAACCAACTTGTGAGTTCTGAGCGGGGTAGAAAGCAAAAATCCCGTAATATGGTCACGGCACGTCACGGCTCAAAGACTGAGGCACCAATGGACACCGTTGGACGCCCACAAAATTGCTCTTTCGGTTCGGAATTTTGAGCCATTTTGAGCCATTTTGAGCCATCCCCCACTTCCTACTCTCATCTTCCCAGTGACTCCCTGCCTGTTGGATTGCTAAAGTGTCCGACATCTTCACCTTCAAAGAGTCCGACATCTTCACCTGCAAAGAGTCGGCCGCCTTCACCTTTGGCGAATGCCAGGTGATGCCTTCCTCAAGAAGTGGCAGTAGAGGTGGCAGCATCGGTGGCACTGCCGGCACCGGCGCTACCATCGGTGGCATCTCCATCATGGCATCGGTGGCCCTGGCCTGCGCCAAGGATGCTTGGTCAGTGAAGTCGCGGAGTCCGATGAGATGCCGCGTGGCACCGTTCCAGTCGACGTATCTCACATGGAAGACCTCCGTGCGAAACTGCGAGGCGCAGGAGTCTACCATGCGGGTGTGAAACGCTTGGGCCGCGGCTTGGCCTCCGACTTCAACACTTTGGCATAGGAGTTCCTCTGCACGAGCGACTTCTGCCGGGGGAAGGAAATCACGGAAGTGGATGCCTTCCAGTGTGGACCCAGGAGCGTTTCTGAGAAGCATTGTCGCCAGGTTGGGGGAATGCTTGGTCAGTCGCAGATCCTCACCAAGCTCCTTGAGTGATTCATTCGATGGTATCGAAAAAAACTCCACCGGATAGTAGCATAACACCATTCTCTCGAAGTTCCCACAACAAAGGGCAAATCATACAGTAAAATGTTCTTCCAAGTGGAAGAAGTGCATGTGATTTGTCATGGTACACAACCAGACTGCGGACCTAAACTTTGCCTTACAATTTGCGCAATCTTGCTGAGAGTACAGCTTCCAAAAACGTCAAGGTTTGGCCAGGCACCGAATCTCACCACTAAGTGGGCCACTGATATTAGAACCAAATGGTATCATCCCATCTCTCGGGATAGAAAACAACCTTTTTTCCACTACCCTGTACAGGTAGTTGCGGTAGTTGGCTATATACCCCCAGCTGTTCCGTTTTAGCATCCTATGCATGGTTGATCATGGTTGGCTATATCCAGATTTCTTCAGCTCAGATTGCCTGATATTGCCTGACTCAGAAATGGCCCCTTGCAACATTCATTCAATTTGTATATGTTTGCATTAGCATTTTATTTCACCATCCCAGAATGGGGTCAATAAGCTTGAGCATAGCTTGAGCCAAGAATCCACCACGGCGTCACAGGTCAAATGAAGCAGCGACGTGGCCGCCACAAGCTCACGCTCCTGCCACGCTCCATGGGGTTAGGTGAGTCATCCCTGAGTCATCCCTTGGCCCCAGGATGTTCAGTAGGAAATCATATGAAACCAATATGAAACCATCCCAATTCTTGGGCCTAAGCATGGTGGTGAACCGTCGCGGCCAAGGCTCCATAATGGCTCGCAACATTCGCTGCTTGACAAAGGCCTTCACGGAGTATCTTTGAGAGAAGGCAGCTCCCACAACCAAAATGAGCAAAAGTGCCTCCAACCAAAAGGCGACGTAGACACGATCACCACCATTGGCATAGGTCCGGTGCTCTGTGTCCAGACTGATGCCCACCACGGATACGACAGTATAAGTCAGGTTGGCAACAATCGCCCATGATAATCTGGGGGCCATTGCCACGGCCGGTAATCTGTAGAAGCAAAAGGTCACCATAGACCAAAGCAGTCGCTCAGTTTCGGGCACAACACCAGGAAGCAATTGCAGTGTGCAAAGAAGTGCTCCAAAACAGTACCAGTAATCGAGTGTGTGGCGCTTGATCAGTCTGTCACGCTGGAACGTAAGTAAAAGGCCGACAGATAATGTAAGCAAGATCATCCAGCAAAGGGCTCTTGGAATTACCATCACCCTGCCAACAATCATGCTCCACTGAAAGGCAACTACGCTCCCAAGAGTTGACATCACAAGAATTGGTGGATACTGCTTGTACGTTTGCAAGATGTGTTCGCAAACTTCTTCTTCCACTTGTGGATCCTCGAAACCCACGATTTGCTTCCACAGCTGCCTGGCAGCCTCTAAAGCACCCTTCCAGAACTGATTGGCATGGGCCAAAATGCTGTCACTGCGCTTGACCATATGAAGCCTGGAGAATGATGGTTTTCCGAAACTGGGGGCACATAATAATTTGCTGGAGCAGCCATTGATCAACAATATCCCAAAGTCCCACATACAAATACAGAGACATGCATCCAGCCCAAGAACTTAAGAATCCAAGTGGCTTAGTTCTATTAATGCTAGTTTTGTGAAGCTAATTCCACCTTCATTACAAGATGATACTAGATGGTTCCAAGATGCTCCAACGGAGCCAAACAAAAACGCAGCCGGCTTTTTCAGGAGAGCATAACTGATTAATTACAGCGATATAATACAAGCAATTATATAATATATCTATGAATATCTATGATCTATCTACCTACCTACCTTTCTATCGAATCGTTAACATTTCTATAGTCGCAGCCGAGGTGCAAAACATTCCCCAGCAACACTGCCTCAATAAAGAAGGACACCGCCAGAAAAGCGCCGTCCAGGTTGCTGAGCCATTCGTCATCAGGCATGGCGTCCGGATCTGACCGAATCAAGTGGGTTAATGGTTATACAGTTATACAGTGCTTAAACAGTGGCTATGGTTAAGGGATAATATATGATAATATATAAAAATGGGATGTGATGGCAGGGTGATCAGAATTTGAAAGATCTCAAGGTTTTTTTAATTCTTAGGGCCGTCACCAAACTTCTGTCACAGCCGCAGTGTTGGTTTTTTTTGATACTATGATCCCTCTGGCCCTTAGATGCCCTTACGTATGGTATGAAAAGCGACTCATGGCCTTCTTGTTTGGCAAAAACTTCCCCAAACTTATTGGGGGTCGACCACTTTTGGGCCAGGACGCTGCGCGTAACGGCTTCAATCATGACAATCAGATCAATCAGTTGCGAAATCCAGGTTTTGGAACCAATGCAAGTGGAATGCAACCTCCAACATCTGTCCACCATTGAAGAAGTGCAAATGGATTATGTGATGCCCATGTCCCAACACTGATCACGAGCTCCTATCTACTGTACATTGTTGATGTGTTCTATGCCCATATCATACCCATGATGAACCTGAAAATCAAGGACTACCTGAGCCAACCATCATCCCATTCTCAGGGATGGTAACTGAGGCATCTCCAAACAGAACGCGCAAATACACCTTTCGGGAACCTCTCTCCTGGCTTGACCAAAAAATTTACCAAATAAATCATGTTCCAACTAGTAACTACAAAATGGGAGGTTTTCAGCCAGAACTAGGCAAAGTTTCAATACTGGAGGGGATATCCCATTTTCTGCGCGTCTCCCTAATTTTCTGCGTGAAATCCCTTGTTTTGCAGGCTTGGAATGAAATTTCTTTTGGTTTGAATCGTGGAATCAATTTGAATCCCATCTCACCATCTCTAACCAGCTTTGATCCTCATTGTTTCCTCATCTTGGTCGAAAATTGGCGAAATCCCGGGTAGCAAACGGCATCCCATCCAAGAGGCGGCAAAGGTGGTGGCAGCTCGCTGGGCTCCGAGGCCTGCGGAAAATTCAATGGAGATATGGGAAAAAATGGAGATAATATGGATACATATGGCAAATTCACTGGTAAAATGAGATAAAATATATTCTTAAAGCTACTTAAATTTATGGGTTCATATTGGTCAAATATATGAGGAGAATATGGAAATATGCCGGGGGTAAAAATGAACTGGGGAGCATCTGGGTACGTATTCAAAGGAAGCTGGGAAGCAATACTTCCCTGTTACGGACAAATAGAATTCTGAGACTTGACATTGATGAAGCGTGGTACATCACATCACAATACATGACAAAAGAATAAGAAGCTATGACACAGGGTGGTGAAGAAGGGAAGTGGTGACGATGGGAAGTGGTGAGGAAGGGAAGTGGTGACGAAGGGAAGTGGTGAGGAAGGGAAGTGGTGAGGAAGGGAAGTGGTGACAATGGGAAGCGGTGACGATGGGAAGTGGTGACGATGGGAAGTGCTGAGAGGTGGTGAGGAAGACATCACATCACAATACATAACAAAAGAATAAGAAGCTATGACACAGGGTGGTGAAGAAGGGAAGTGGTGACGATGGTAAGTGGTGAGGGTGGGAAGTGGTGACGAAGGGAAGTGGTGAGGAAGGGAAGTGGTGATGAGGGGAAGTGGTGACGATGGGAATTGGCGGGTTAGCCACGTAATGCTGCGAAACGCATAGTAATGGCTGCATGAATGTTCCATGGGCTTTGTTTGGGGGAGGAAGCCGGAGCAGGAAACCTTGCATTTTTCCGTGTAAAGTGGTTGCAGCGGTGCGGCGGGTGCGGCTGCGGTCGTTTCTGTCGCGAATTGGTTCCTCCTCTGTGTTCTGCAACGAGTGGTTGTTCCTGTGTGCGTAGTTCTATGCGTTTCTTGAAGCTCTGGTTGCGGATCGCATTGGAATTGGCATGCTGTGATTGTTGTCATGCTCTGTTGCCATGTGCGTCAAGACAGTGATGTGGGTTAGCCACGTCGAGATGCTGCAAAAGACGCTATGTGTAATGGCTGCATGCGAATGTTGCAGCCGGATCTCGTAAATAGTATTGGAGTGGGTGCATCAAGGCTGCGACAGTGATTTGTCAGCAGATTTTCTCAATTTTGGCGCTAATAATTTTCCTTTCAAAAGCTCTTTTAAAAAGTGCTGCAAAATCTTCTTTTTGTCGGTGTGGCGTCGAGATCCGGTTTTGGAGCTGCAAATGGAGACGCCGTTGCGTGTAGTTCTATTGTGTTTTGCAACTCAGTCTCTGCAGATCGCATTGTAGTGGCTGCGTCAAGGTTGCTTGGTGCCGCGGCTGCATGCGCAATACTATTGTCTTTTGCAGCTGGATCTCGTAAATAGTATTGGAGTGGGTGCATCAAGGCTGCGACAGTGATTTGTCAGCAGATTTTCTCAATTTGGCGCTATAATTTTCCTTTTGAAAGTTCTTTTAAAAAGTGCTGCAAAATCGTATTTTTTTCGCTTTGGCGTCGAGATCCATCCGGTTTTGGAGCTGCAATTCCTGTTGTGATTATGTACAAGAAAGCTTCTCGCTGTAAAAACTTTTTTCTGTAAAAGCTTGCTGTGTGTAAAAGATTTGGTGTGTAAAAGCTTCTCTGTGTGTAAAAGCGTCTCTGTGTAAAAGTTTCTGTGTGTAAACGCTTGCCATGTGTAAAACAACTGTGTGCAAGTGTTCTGTGTGTAAACGCTTGCTGTGTGTGAAAGCTTGCTGTGATTTGCTGTGTGTGAAAGCTTCTCCGTGTAAAAGCTTGTTGTATGTAAAAGCTTCTCTGTGTGTAAAAGCGTCTCTGTGTAAAAGTTTCTGTGTGTAAATGCTAGCCATGTGTAAAAGCACTGTGCGTGAGTGTTCTGTGTGTAAACGCTTGCTGTGCGTGAAAGCTTGCTGTGTGTAAAAGCTTCTCTGTGTAAAAGCTTGTTGTGTGTAAAAGCTTCTATGTTTAAAAAGCTTGCTGTGTGTGTGTAAACGCTTGCCATGTGTAAAAGCACTGTGTGTAAGTGTTCTGTGTGTAAACGTTTGCTGTGTGTGAAAGCTTGCTGTGTGTAAAAAAAAACTGGTGTGTAAATGCTTGCCATGTGTAAAAGCTTCTCTGTGTGTAAAAGCATCTCTGTGTAAGAGTTTCTGTGTGTGTGTGTAAACGCTTGCCATGTGTAAAAGCACTGTGTGCAAGTGTTCTGTGTGTAAACGCTTGCTGTGTGTGACAGCTTCTCTGCGTAAAAGCGTGTTGAGTGTAAAAGCTTCTCTGTGTGTAAAAGCTTCTCTGTTTATAAAGCCCGCTGTGTGTGTAGACGCTTGCCATGTGTAAAAGCACTGTATGTAAGTGTTCTGTGTGTAAACGTTTGCTGTGTGTGAAAGCTTGCTGTGTGTGACAGCTTCTCTGTGTAAAAGCTTGTTGAGTGCAAAAGCTTCTCTGTGTGTAAAAGCGTCTCTGTTTAAAAAGCCTGCTGGTAGACGCTTGCCATGTGTAAAAGCACTGTATGTAAGTGTTCTGTGTGTAAACGCTTGCTGTGTGTGAAAGCTTGCTGTGGATAAAAGTTTTTGTGTGTAAAAGCTTGCTGTTTGTAAAAGCTTCTCTGTGTGTAAAAGCTTCTCTGTGTGTAAAAGCGTCTCTGTGTAAAAGTTTCTGTGTGTAAACGCTTGCCATGTGTAAAAGCACTGTGTGTAAGTGTTCTGTGTGTAAACGCTTGCTGTGTGTGAAAGCATGCTGTGTAAAAACTTCTCTGTGTAAAAGCTTGTTGTGCGTAAAAGCTTCTGTGTGTAAAAGCTTCTCTGTTTAAAAAGGTTGCTGTGTGTAAAAGCTTCTCTGCGAAAGAATTTGCTGTGTGTAAAAGCTTTCTTTGTGCCAACTTTGTATCACAATGTAGTACTGGGATGTACTTTGCGCAAGCTTCGTAGTACAAAATAGTATATACTGGGAAATAATTTGTGCAAGCTTTGTAGTACAAAGTAGTACTGGGGAATACTTTGTGCAAGCTTTGTAGTACAAAGTAGTACTGGGAAGTACTTTTTGCGAGCTTTGTAGTTATACAGTAGTACTGGGAAATAGTTTGTGCAACCTTTGTAGTACAAAGTAGTACTGGAACGTGTTTTTTGCAAGCTTTGTAGTACAAAGTAGTACTGGGAAGTGTTTTGTGCAAGCTTTGTAGTACAAAGTAGTACTGGGAAATACTTTATATATGCAAGCTTTGGAGTACAAAGTAATACTGGGAAGTAGTTTTTGCAAGCTTTTGTAGTAGACATCAGTACTGGGAAGTAGTTTTTGCAAGCTTCTGTAGTAGACACCAGTACTGGGAAGTACTTTTTGCAAGCTTTGTAGTACACAGTAGTACTGGGAAGTACTTTTTGCAAGCTTTGTAGTACAAAGTAGTACTGGGAAGTGCTTTGTGCAAGCTTTGTAGTACAAAGTAGTACTGGGAAATACTTTATGCAAGCTTTGGAGAACAAAGTAGTACTGGGAAGTAGTTTTTGCAAGCTTTTGTATTAGACATCAGTACTGGGAAGTAGTTCGTGCAAGCTTTTGTAGTACAAAGTAGTACAATAGCAGACCGGGAGATAGAATATGAAAAATTTCTAGTTCACAGATAGAATATGGGAAAAAAGCTAAGGAGCTAAGACCCCAAACAGCAGATAGAATATGCAAACAACATATGCAGATAGAATATGAACATATAGTATATGTGCAATGTTGCATGTGTATGCAGCTCCACACAACCGCACAAAATACCAGCAAACAACTTGCGCAATGCAATTTTCACCATGCTTGTTCTTGCATGGGTTCTGTCCTGTTTTCCAACATGCTGAAAGAGACACATACAGCAGATTATGTTGGCCAAAGTTTTTCCGAGGTTGGTTGGTACGGTAAAACTTGTTTGTTTTCTTTGTGAACTCTGGTGGTGAAAAGTGCAGTTAGAATATGGATAGGTTTGGATGGTTTTTTTCCCTCACTCACTTCGCAACCAACACCAGCAGCACCACACAACCGCACAAAATACCAGCAAACAACTTGCGCAATGCAATTTTCACCATGCTTGTTCTTGCATGGGTTCTGTTCTGTTTTCCATTATGCTGAAAGAAACACATGCAGTGGATTATGTTGGCCAAAGTTTTCCGGAGGTTGGTTGGTACGGTAAAATTTGTTTGTTTTCTTTGTGAATTCTGGTGGTGAAAAGTGCAGTTAGAATATGGATAGGTTTGGATGTCTTTTTTTCATCGCTCACTTCGCAACCAACAAGCAGTACCACACAACCGCACAAAATACCAGCAAACAACTTGCGCAATGCAATTTTCACCATGCTTGTTCTTGCATGGGTTCTGTCCTGTTTTCCAACATGCTGAAAGAGACACATACAGCAGATTATGTTGGCCAAAGTTTTCCCGAGGTTGGTTGGTACGGTAAAACTTGTTTGTTTTCTTTGTGAACTCTGGTGGTGAAAAGTGCAGTTAGAATATGGATAGGTTTGGATGGTTTTTTTCCCTCACTCACTTCGCAACCAACACCAGCAGCACCACACAACCGCACAAAATACCAGCAAACAACTTGCGCAATGCAATTTTCACCATGCTTGTTCTTGCATGATTTCTGTCTGTTTTCCAACTATGCTGAAAGAACACATACAGTAGATTATGTTGGCCAAAGTTTTCCCGAGGTTGGTTGGTACGGTAAAATTTGTTTGTTTTCTTTGTGAATTCTGGTGGTGAAAAGTGCAGTTAGAATATGGATAGGTTTGGATGTTTTTTTTTCATCGCTCACTTCGCAACCAACAAGCAGTACCACACAACCGCACAAAATACCAGCAAACAACTTGCGCAATGCAATTTTCACCATGCTTGTTCTTGCATGGGTTCTGTCCTGTTTTCCAACATGCTGAAAGAGACACATACAGCAGATTATGTTGGCCAAAGTTTTCCCGAGGTCGGTTGGTACGGTAAAACTTGTTTGTTTTCTTTGTGAACTCTGGTGGTGAAAAGTGCAGTTAGAGTATGGATAGGTTTGGATGGTTTTTT